CCCCTTCCGTGACAGCTGCTCTGACCCAGGAAAACCAGACCCCTGTCCAGGGCCAATTATGAAGTTATTTAAAGATTTCATCCCACGCTGAAAATACATGCTTTGAATTCATTTCAAACTTCCAGCAGCCAATAAAGCCACAGGCAGAAGAAACAGGTATTTACCTGGTCCATCAACACCATCCTACCAGCTTTGGGCATCTCCTGGTTGAGCCCTGAAAGCCTTTCCATAGAATCACAGAATCATTAAGGTTGGAAAAGCCCTCGAGGACCATCAAGTCCAGGGTCACTAAGGCTGGAAAAGCCCTCTAGGACCACCAAGTGCAGCTGTTAAACCAGCACCACCACATTCACCACCAGACCACGGCCCCAAGTGCCACATCCACACTTTCCAACACTTCCAGGAGGTTTCCAGCTCTTTCCAAATGGAGACCTGAAACTTTTCCAGCCTGCACCTGGTGAGTTTAGGACTGTCACCACCAGCTCTGGATCTTCTTTGCTGCCTTTCAAAGACCCCCCAAGTGCTCTGCAGACCTTCCTGGGCAGCTGGAGGCTGATCACACCCAGCTCTGAGCAGAGCAGGAGCACCGTGCCCACCTCCACTGGCTCAGGACAACCTTGAGGACCAAATAAGTCAGAAGGAACCAAATTTAAGTTCCTAACACACTGTAAATGTTTCCTGGAGCCAAGTGATGTGTGTGGACCCAGCACTGATGTGGGATCTGTTGTATTTACCACCAAAGTGACCAAATAACGGGCATCGATCTGTCTCCACAGCACACGCAGGAATATTTTAGTGATGAAAAAGAGGCTCCAGCACACCCTCACCCACACAAAAAGCTTCTGCAGAAGTCCTGGAGGCTGCAGGGATGAGCTTTCATCACCACTGCCTGCACCAAGCTTTGTGGGCAGCACAATTCCCTCGGCAGTGCCATCCCTCCCCAGCCTGGCACGAGCCAGGGTAAGTCGGAGCTGCCCGAGCCACTTTCCCCCTCCTGCAAGTGTGGGTTTTTTTAATTGACTGTGGAATTTGCAGATATTATTCTCAGACAATACATCCTATTGATTGTAATTACCGTCCTCGGAGCTGCGATGGGGAGAATATTAAAACCATTAAGGCCGATTTGGGTTTTATTGGAGCCATTAGCGGAGCGTCGCTGCTTCCCCGGCACCTCCACGGCTCCTCGGAGCCATAAATCATCTCCTGGCACATTTGCTACTGCTCTGGAGACAGCCAGGAGCGGAGCAAAGGGGAGAAATTAAAAAATGGGAGGGGGAGGATTCGTGCAGCTGGATGATGAGATTGATCCGAGCATCTCCGTGATGAACCTGCTGAGCATCCGCTGCCTTCGGAAAGGATGGGATTCCTTCCCTTAGGTGGAGTCCAGAAGATTCAAGAGACATCTAACACAACCCACTGGGCCTGTAGCTGCTTGTCTGCCCAAGTGCAGCTTCCAAAACAGTCATTTCACCTTTATTTGGGCGAAAAAAAGGAAATATTCTCCATTTCTAGACACCACTTTCCCACCTCACCCACGTGGACCCTCCCAGAGCCACCAGTCCCGTGTGGCATCAGGGACCTGGGTGGCACCTTGAGAAGAACCTGCCCATGGGTGTGGCATGGCCAGGATGGACAGATCCTGACCCAGCTGGTCCTGGGGCTCTCTCAGCAGCATCAGTTCATGGGGCTGCCAATGCCAAGCAGCAGTTGCCAACCTCTTCCCAAAAATCCTGGTAGGAGCCTCTCAGCCACCACAGCCCTGTCTGCACCCTGAGGAACCAGCTTTGGCCCTCCTACCTTGTCTGTGCTGTGAGATTGCATCTGAAAGCAAAACAACAGCCACTTCCATGTAATTAATATTCCCTTTTTCCAGCCTTCCCAACAACTTGGGGCAGATCTCTGCACCTACAGATGTGACCGAAGGTCCCTCACCAGCTTAAATGACATTTAGTCCACATGGAGCATTCCCAACCTCTCCTTGCATTTCAGCCCGGATCTTCCTTGCCTGGAAAACCTCCTAAAACCATCTCAGAGCTTCCTTAGAAGGGAGAATTTCCTTCTCCTGTGAGTCCAGCATGACCACTGTCCCTCAGCAAGGACTCAGCACAGGTCCCCGTGGGCTTGCAAGGACACAGCACAGGTCACTGCAGGCTTGTGCAGCTCCCAAAACCAGGTTGGGAAGGAGCCAGCCAGGGCCAGGGAGGAGGGATGGGGCAGCCAGGGCTCCTCTCCTGTCACCCAGCCCCACGTGTGACCCCAGGGTGAGGAGCACAGTGGGCAGCAAAGCTGTGATGGGTCACTCCTGTCCCACTGCAGTCACCTCTGCCCTGCCTCCTCCTGGAGCACGAGAAAAGCAACTAAACACAGGTGCTGACAGCAGAAAGGACTCTTATTTTCCTTAATAAAACATCCCTCTGGATTCCTGAGAACGTAAACCAGCTTGAGGAACACTTGCACTCAGAGCAGCAGCAGCTTTCACATCCCATCCCTGGGGAGGAGATGATTTCAGACCACACCAGCCAAGGCCTGTACCAGTGAAATTTCCCTTTTCCTGAGATATTCTGCAGCAGTTGGAGCAGCCCAGTCCATCCTCTCAGAACTTGCTTCCTGGCTGCTTTCACTTCACGATTCCCGTGTTTACAAACACTGGGGCTTCCAGCAGGGCAAGGCAAGGTTTTGTCATAAACAGCGAGACACTGAAACCGCAGGGAAATGTCAAGGGCAGGAAAAAACAAAAATAAAACCAGAGATTTTCTCTTCAGTCTGGTTGAGCCTTGAAGGTATTGAGTCCATGCAGGGGAACACTGGGTGCTACAGACACAGCCCAGGAGCGGCAGGAGGTACCATGGGGGCATCAAACACCCCTTCTGAGCCAGCCAGGAGGTGAAATGTCCCTTCCCAGCAGGGTCTGGGCTGCTGCCAACAGCCCTTTCCCTTTGATCCAGGTGGGAAGTGGAAGGAGCAGAGCTGGACTATCTCTTCCTCCTCCACCCTGTGAGCCAGGGGAAGGGGAATCCTGGAGCGAACACAAGGATGGGAAGCAAACCAGGAGCTTCCTCGGGTGCCTCCAGGACAGACAGTGGGGTGGAGAGTGGAGGAAGGTCTCTCCACTGGAAAACTCATTGTAGAATGAAAAACTCCAGCTGCTGTGGGTGTGAGAGAAGCAGCAGCTCAGTCCTACCCAGGGGAGGTGCTCTCAAGGTGTTGGGGCTCCTCGATTCCCAAACCTGGGTGTCCATCACCAGCTCCACGTGCTTGGTTTGCACAGCACTGCAAAGCCCGGCTCTCTGCGGGACGAGTCGGGGCGTGAGGCAGCCTGATTGCCTTCCAGAGCCTTTGTGCTGCCAGGAGGGAACGGGAGGATGGAGGAGGAAAATCCTTACAGGGGTCAACAGGCAAAATTCCTTGGCTGACAGCTCACCTGGAGAAGCACATGCCTGGAGGCAAAGAGTTTCCAGCAGTGGGTGCTGCCAGCAGAGTTGATCAGATAAGGCTGCAGAAAAAGAGCTCCCAGACCACAAAAATGAGGTGGGTATTTTTTTCTTTAAGCTGAGTTGCTGCACAAATGACTGTAATTAAGGATGTTACCTGTCAGTTCCTCGGGGCGCCGAGGCTACAACGTTCAGGCTTTGGAAAAAAAAGCACCCCTTGCATGGCAGCAGTCCCACTCATCCCTCAGCTTACTCATCGTGCCCAGCACCCACCCAGATTTGTCACCAATTAGTTGTAATTCAAGGCTTTGAGGGGAAATCCCCACCTCCCCGAGCTCGATGACTTCACAGGAAGTAAAGGGCTGGAACGCCTTTTAAAACCCCAAAAATCCTGAGGAAAAGCCAGGCGTGCCAGAGGCGAGGCTGGAGGGTCTGGCTGGGGAGGCACACGCGGCTCATCACGTGTTCCAGCGCATCCCAAGGCTCCCGCAGAGCTTCCAGGAGATTTTGTGGATTCCTTTGAATTCATACATTATGGAAGAGTCTCAAGCAGAGTCACCGGTGTGTCTGCAGTGCTTGTTCACACAACATCACTGCAGCTCCGAAGTTCTGAGCAATCCCTAAGTCACTCTGCAAAGAGTGAGATCACACTACGATTTACAGGGTTTGCTGCAAAACAGCGTTTGGGGGTTTCGTCCTGGCTGACAAACAGCGGGTTCTTAGGGAAGGTTCTTTCCCTTAGGAAAGGGGAACGTGCACTGCCAGCCTGGCACCGCTCCCAGCCTGGGAAAAGCTGTTATTCCTCTGCCTCTCCAAGGAGAAGCCACCTCTCAGACAGCCTGGTGGTGGCACCTTGCACCCACCAGGCACCAACAGCATCCCCGGCCCCATCCCTGGAGCAGCAGGGAACCAGCTCCCGCCGTGGCCAAAGATATTCCAGGAAAGTTAGAAAATCACAGAATGGATTGTGTTGGAATGGGCCTTAAAGCCCATCTCATTCCAACCCCTGGCCAGGGACACCTTCCCCTAGCCCAGGTTGCTCCAAGCCCTGTCCAACCTGGCCTTGAACATTTCCAGGGATGGGGCAGCCACAGCTTCTCTGGGCAGCCTGTGCCAGGGCCTCCCCACCCTCACAGCCAAGAATTTCTTCACAGTATCCAATCTAAATCCACTCTCCAGCAGCTTAAAGCCATTCCTCCCTGTCCTGTCTCTCCATCCCTTGTCCCAAGTCCCTCTCCAGCTCTCCTGGAGCCCCTTTAGGCCCTGGAAGGGGCTCTCAGGTCTCCCTGGAGCCTTCTCTTCACCGGGTGAAACCCCCCCAGCTCTCCCAGCCTGGCTCCAGAGCAGGGGGGCTCCAGAGCCCTTGGAGCATCTCCGTGGCCTCCTCTGGCCTCGCTCCAGCAGCTCCACATCCTTACGCTGGGGACCCCAGCGCTGGACGCAGCACTCCAGGTGCCATCCCACCAGAACAAACCAATTCCCCCCTCCCACCCCCCCCCCCCACCCCCCAAACGGTCCCTCCACCCCCCCCCCCGCTCCTCCCCAGCACCGCGACCCTTCCCCACTCACCGAGGCGGGGTTGGCGCGGGTGTTCCTCTCCTGCTCCCGGCACTGCAGCCCCGCCAGGTGCCTCTCCAGGGCTGCCCAGTCCATCGCGGGGGG